GGTGAGTGTGTATTTGACTGGTGTGGTAAGTGGGTGCAGGTGTCCGTGATTAGTAATCGGGTGATTGTGAGCGGGTGTAAGAGGCTGATTCGGCTGGTGAGGCAGGTGTTTCCGTGACACTAACAATAGGCATTATTTACTTACTCCAGATGTGTTTGTATTATCAAAACCAGCTTCAGGGCGAATCCCTCCTCTGTTTTCTACGTCTGTCACACTATAGAACACATCCATCAATGATTTAAAGATATGTCTTTAACTTAAATATGAAATTAGATTGATAAAAACATTATAAAGCACATTAGGCACCTTTACAAGTTTATACATGCTATGATTTTAAATGAAAACCCTCGGTGAACACTCACTGTACATATGCTTGTTGTCGTAATGAGTTATAGACATAACTTACGGTAAAAAGGTATAGAGTTAGGCTAATTATCTTTATCACAACCGAAGAAATTAGATGATGACAGTAATGTTTTTCCTTAATTCACATACCATGGCTTCAGTGACGGAGATGTCGGAAAGATTTGTGAACAATATTTGAGAGAAATAGGCCTTTTGTGTACATAGAAAAAGTCTTAGATCTTTGAGTTCAGCTCATGAAAAATGGGGGCAAAAACAAAAGTGTTGCGTTTATAATTTTGTTCAGTGTAATTGCATTTAATATAATGATTTAAACTATAATACATTTTCATTTAATTGCAATCATTGTGATTGTGTGTCCGAAAACATTACATTCAGTTCACACTTAAGTATATTCTTTTGAAGTATATTATTTCTGTAATAGTAGCTAATCTTTTTAAAGGTACGCTAACATGTACTTCTTTTTAGGGTAAGGAGGACTGCTAATCTTTAAATGTAAAGTGTTTATTAATAAAAATAATTATGCTTGTGCGCTGGAAGTTCTAGGCCTATTTACTGTCATCCCTGCAGCTAATTATGGGTTTTCCAAAGGTTAATATTAAAAACGAGTGCACTAGCCTGCTGTATAGAGTTGAGTAAGAGATATTGGTAAGTGAGTTAATGAAGAGCATTAGCGTCTAGCAAGTGGGTCTTTCTCTGCTTCTTGAGTCCTGTATTTTGTAGTGTACTCCCTATGTTTGTGTGAATTGGACAGTAGAGTACTGGCAGTGTGGTTTGAAGGTCTAGTTTTGTGTTTGAAGGTTAATTTTTACAGATTTCCTGCTCCTTTATTCAGGAAGGGACATATTCATATTGACATATTCTAAGTCACTACACAGACCTCTTGAAAGACCAATGTGGACACCTTTAATTCATTGCAAAATGGCTATTAACAGAAGACACAGATGATGGTGAAATCTTAAAAAAAAAGTATAAAGGGTGAGATATTAAGGTCTTGGGAGGCATTTGTCTTTCTTGTCTTCACTTGCCGTTACAACAGAACTGGTCTGACGGAGTTTTTCCCCCTCTAAGGCAAGATTTTGTTTACTAGTACAGTTGTGGCTTTATGATCATGAACTGCCATCTGCAGAAAACAAAACCAGTCTTTTAATATACTAAGACGCTAGTCATTCAGTTTTGGAGTGGAAGTAGTAAAGCATGTAAACCTACCAAGTGTTGCTTGTTTATAGCGAATGTCACCCGGTCATAGATTATCACTCCACCCGATCCTTTAGGGTTTTCCACACACTGGAAGGAGGTCTAAATGTACCATTGCATTTGTTATTGTCATGAATTACTTTTAAGAATTTACAAATATATATATTAATGTCATTATTGATTATATTGGTAATCAGTAATTCATCTCTTGAATATTTTGATCAACTAATCTGATGTATATGATATAAAGAGTATGATAGTATTATATAAAGTACACTCTAAAAAATGCTGGGTTGTTACAACCCAACTTTGGGTCAAATATGGACTAACCCAACTTTTGGGTTAAAACTTTAATTTAAAAATGTAACCCAACAGCTGGGTTAGTCCATATTTGTCCCAACGTTGGGTTGAAACAACCCAGCATTTTTAGAGTGTATGGTATAAAATATGCCATTTAGTTTCTTTTACAAAATCCACTTTAATGTTATTTTAAAAAATAAATTAATGTGAGTTATTCATTATGGGTTAACACAATGCCAGAACTGTCTAATATTATGCTGTATGCTGTATTAAAAATGGTAATGAGTCAGCCATTTTTCTGACTTTATATGGAAATGCGAACCATTTCACAAACAAACACAAATACCTTAATTTGATCCATTGTGGGTTGATGGGGAAGGCAGAATATTGTACCCTGAAAACAAATGCAAATAAAACAGTAGTTAGCAGGACCTAGAGACATATCCTAACAGAATAAAGGTTGTAATTAAAGAAAAAGGTGGTTCAGCAAAATACTGACACAAGGGGGTGATCCTTTTTCTAACTCAATGATTCTGTTTTTTTACATGTTGGAGTTATATCTTTCACTTGGATGTTATAAGTTGCTCTCAGTAAATACAGCTGGATAGAACATAAACTATGTCCGTCTTCATTTCAGGCTGGAAAGCAACAAAATGTGATTATTTTAAAGCGGGGTGATTCTTTTCTATACCCACTGTGTGTTTAGACAGCATGTTTTATCATGACCCTGCCCCGAAGGCACTGAAAACCCACTTTTCAAGTGAACAAAAGATTCATTATTCAATTTATCGTATGTTATGACGATAGCTTATGGATCGGGCCTTGTGGGTTTCCAACGGTTTCCAGACCAGAACTTTAACCATTATACCACAGGTTGTACATAAAGCATGTTTGATACTGCATGTGCTATAAAGTAATATTCAAAACTGTAATATTCAAAAGGCCTCATTATAGGTCTCAATTAAGCAGTTTGATAATCTTGATGGATGATCAAGTGCCCAAAACAAGAAGCCAACAAAAATTGCAACTAAATAATAAATAATAGTAAATTATTTCAGTAAATTTAGCGATTTATAGACTCTATAGCAGGGCTGTCCAAACTCGGTCCTGGAGGGCCGGGGTCCTGCAGAGTTCAGCTCCAACTCTAATCAAACACACCTGAACCAGCTAATCAAGCTCTTACTAGGCATAGAAACTTCCAGTCAGGTGTGTTGAGGCAAGTTGGAGCTAAACTCTGCAGGACACCGGCCCTCCAGGACCAAGTTTGGACACCCCTGCTCTATAGGCTAACCACAGATGCAACATGCAGGCTAGTAGGCTAACAGCCAACGAAACTTAGAACTGCTGTAGTTACAGCTTCAGTAGTTACTCAATATTATCAATATCTTCTTTAATTGTAATGATAGACTAATAAAACAGGTTTTGATGGAAATATGAAAGATTTCATGAGAAATATTTACGTACCATAATAACGGTGCTTTTCGACAACTGACAACAAGAGCGTGCGCCACCTAACGAAGATCCGAAGACTAGCAATAAAAAGATTAATACGAATGAAAAATATACAACTAACAAATAAAATTGTAAAGATAATTACATTTTATAAATTATAATTGCATATTATAAATTAAACATATTTTGTTTAACTGTATAATAAATGTATATATGATAATTATTTCTGGATAGAATCAGTAGGAGTCACAAACTTATATTTTAAGAACTAATATTGTCTAATATTGTAACAGCACATTTATTATATGCCTATTACAAGCTCCATAAATAAATAAATAGTCATAAAAGCAGATCAAGCATTTTGTTTCAATTTGTTTAAACAAACTTATCTGTCACTTCTGTGTCTGTCAGTTCCAATCACAACCACGTTTTGCTGCTGTCTTCATGTCTTGAACTTATAGATAGAGGCTTCCATCTTTTAGTTCCTCTTCAATGGTCTTCTGAAGGTTCCTTCATGATCTTTGGTCTCAAAATCAACATGACAAATGTGAACATAGTTTTAAAAAAAACTGATTGATCCATAAAATGACAATGATGTGGTAGTTTTCTAGCTCTAAATGAAACGGATACAAGCATTCAAGCACCGGATGTAGCAGTGATAATTAAGATTTTGATATCAAAATATCAAAAACCAAACCCAACAGCACAACCCACTAATAACAAGCATGCAAATAAAATGTGAAAAGTCAGTTCTCTAATTAGTTCCCAGAAAATAACATTTAATGTGCTTTTGACCCCCTTATAACAAATGCATGTTTAACTATAGGTTTATTACATTATAATTATTTAATTTAAATAGCTAAATCCATTTTCAACATTGGGCTTCCGCGTTTTATGGGGACATTCCATGGACGTAATGATTTTTA